GAAGGGCGCCCTGTACGTTGGGCACGAAGTATAGGAAACTTGCATGGTTAAAAAGAAGGGCGCCGCCTACGTTGGGCACGACTTCCGCCTCATTTTTACAATGCGAGAACTCTATCTTGTATTTCTAGTATCTTTGCACCTATCCTTTACCATTAGTCGATGTGTGTCAGATCGAGTCAATGTCTCTCAAGAAATGGGCGTTCCGAACGAGACCTCTCGTCCAATCAAATTGATTTTTAGCTTAACAGACAGCTTGATTAGTCTATTTTACATACCGAAACTGCCGTTAAAATCGGCCCACTGGTTCAGAAGTTAGAGTGATTTTTGTAAACATGATCGTAAGATTGTGTAAACAGATAGGAGTTAATACACTGGGCGATCGCCAACTGACTTGGCTTAAAAAAAAGATTCCGACGACACCTCATTGATTTTAAAATTAAAAATAACATATGACATTATAGCTGAATAAATAAGGAACAAGTTTCAAAAACAGCCAAAAAAATCGGTCTAATATTAACGAAGATACGTTAAAAAAAACTGCTCAAAAAGGGCTGATTTTCAGCGATTTCTCACCGTTTAGCGATTTCGGGCCCGATTTTTGGAACACAAAACAAATTGTAATGGTTGTTATAAATTATACCGCAAACAATATATTGCCAAATATTGGCTTGTATATCTTCACCTGAGGCCATTGCAATCAACAAAAGCCACGTTGAGCTGTTATTCAATGATATAAAGATTTGAGCTATAATTCTCTATGTTAAAACAACATAAATATTGATTTTTTTTTTTTTTTTGAGGTTTTAAAAAAATTTTCCCATTCATTTCATAATGTGCATGCGTAGACCAGCCTTGAAATTGAGATGGCTACAGAATGAATGGACTGGATAGGATTGGATTTATTCGGTGTAAGCACCAAGGATAGCCCACGAAAGTCTAGTCTTCTGGTGGTGATTCGGCAGTACACCAAAAAACAATCCCCTACTCTATTCCGAAGAGTGTACTGCGTTCTTTAACGTGCACATGGGCCATAAATTCACACGGAACCAATGACTTAAACGTCTCATCCAATAGACGGTTCGCTACTGTAACCTGTATTTCAGCCCTCCAGCTAATTCACAAGGAGGCAGCGATAGGAACTGAACGGGGGACCTACAGATCTCCACAGTTCAATGTACGCACAGTAGGTACCGCCAGATCAATGCCGTAGCCAGAATTTTCAAACAGTGCGGGACAATTATAAGGGTGGACCCACTTCACACGCATAAATTCAAATAGTGGATTCATTTCCTTAAAAGTTGACCCATTTTACGCTAACATATGAAAAATCTGGACCCATTTCCTAAAGAAAAGTTACCAATTTTAGGCTCACTATGAGATCTTTGGACTCATTTTTGAACAAAATTGCAAACATTAAACAAAATGTGGACCCATACTTTGTGGACCCATTAGAAAAAATGTGGGACTGTCTCAACTGTCCCAATAGCTGATTACGGCATTGAACCAGATTAGCTGACTGAACTAGGCTGCTCTCCAGATCATTATATAGTTTGTTATCCAGTCACATACTGTCTCCTCTTTTGATGACACACAATTTGATCTTTGATGTATAAATTCTGCTATTTTTATGACATATAATTCATTGATCACATTAGTTTGCTACTTGATGACATTGTTATAATTTGCTAGTTGATGAAATTATTAATAGTTCATTGCCTAATTGATGACATTTTATATAAATAGTAGTAGTCGAGTTGAATAAAACATCCAATCTTGCACCGAATGAGGGATTCTACCCCATTGTAGGAAGAGAAACATTCATTTTTGTTTAATACAACACCTGCATGCTTTTCTTCAAATACCGTATATTACAAGGACCCATCATCCTTTCTATGGTGAGCATAAAACCGGCCTTGCCTAGGAACCGACCACGTTTAGCTAATAAAATAGACTCATCTTTACAACTGATCCTGGCGAAATACTCCATACGGTTAACTGCATTTTTTTTGTTGATTCAGCATCACTTTCTTTCAGTAATTCCTCCAAACCTTCCTCGCTCAAAAGTACAAATGGCCCAGTACCAAATGGACCTGCAATTTTATTCGAGGCGCGAGGGTACTGAATGACCAACTCCTTGTTGACGGACGGATTGTAAAGGCCGGTTCCCACTGAACGTGATCAAGCGAAAGCGTCGAGTGTCACGCGGCAAGCGAAGCGAATCGCGCGAAAAATACAGAGTTGACTTCATAGAGCTATTAAACAACTAGAGTGCTGACAAGATGGCGGAGCAGTGCAGAGTTGTGTACGTGTACCATCCAAGATGGCTGCCGTAGAAAAGCGCCACCTTCAGGCTTAGTATACATATTATTATCATGTGCAAGAGTAATTTTACTGAGTAGTACATCCTCATAAAGAAATCAATGGCGATAAGATAACGTGAGAGAAAGTCCATAAAGTGCCAAAGGAAAACTTTTTGTAAGCTTTGAGCAAAAACAAAATCCTAATGAAATCACCTGCATAATATCAAAGTACAGGAATCGGCCTCTACCCCATTCATAAAGAAATATAAATTATTTTGAACTGCATTTATAGCAGATCAAAAAATGTTTTTTGTCATCCTTATCATTTTGAAAATAATTGATTTTCTTACTGAGATTATAGTTCTTAATAAATTTACTTAGACATGAGAACTGACTTAAAAGAAAACCATATACAGTATTAATATTTATTATACATAGATAGCTCACAAGAGTGGTTAAAACCATTTACTTTTAATATAATAGGGTACTAAATATAGAATAATTAATTTGTCAGTTTTCTTTACTAAAAATATTAATATCCGTACTGTGGGAAAACATGTTAAGCAATTACTATGCGTGTACACTTATTGAGATGCAGGCTTTCCTGCAAACGAGCACAATTCTAGTTGAGTGGAACTCTATCTTATTTTGATAAAGTTACTTGCCTTCCAGTCTGTAGGTCAAAAGTTAAAATCCCAGGGATTATTTTTTTCCCATGACTAAATACAAATTAATTCAAAGCCTCAGAAAAAGAATTAGTTTATAGAACATTACATAACACTATATTATTTCCATTTTGTGTAATTTGAAATTGTGTTTTTGTTATAAAAGGAAATAACGGAATACATGGGCGAGAAGGGGTGAATGGGTGACTAGCCACCAAGTACTAATGTAGAAACGAATTAACAGTCCTAAGATACTTTGTAATAGCTGTCTCTTATACACATCTAGATGTGTATAAGAGACAGCCCCCACCCCCCCCCCCCCAAAAAAAAAACAGGAAAAAAAATCACAATTTGTTAGGGAGAAAAAAAAAATATTTGTAAACTATAAAATTTTTAGGGGGCTTCGCCCCTCCACCCCCTGTATCACTTTCAAAGCATGTTGAGCGATGCCTGACTAATCCCACTTTGCGACACCCCAGCATATTTTCCCCTAAAATGTTACTTTTTCCATCAAATCACACCAAGCTCTTCATTTTTCCCACGCACTTCCCCCTGGCGCTGACTAATCCCACTTTGCGACACCCCAGCATATTTTCCCCTAAAATGTTACTTTTTCCATCAAATCACACCAAGCTCTTCATTTTTTTCCCCGCACTTCCCCCTGGCGCTGACTAATCCCACTTTGCGACACCCCAGCATATTTTCCCCTAAAATGTTACTTTTTCCATCAAATCACACCAAGCTCTTCATTTTTTTCCCTGCACTTCCCCCTGGCGCCGCCACTGCTTTTAAATCTTTCTATCAAATCCCATCAAATCACACCGAGCTCTTCCTTAATTTCTTCCATTTTCTGCGAAAAAAAAAAAACAATAAAGTATGTATAATTGAGTACAAATTTAAATGTATTAACACATTTATAATTTGTGTTACTAGACAATTCTAGATTAGAACAATTTAAAAATGTGCTGTCTGTGAAATACTGTTAATTGTTTAGTTTATTAGCTTTCAAGTAAACATATTTTCCTCATCAATTACAGATTTACAATAATCCAGATTTTATAATTGGCTGAAAATTGATTTAAGGATTTGCTTTTGAAAGGTCTGTAAATCAGTGAAAACGTTTATCAGTGTTGTTTCATTGGGAGTGATTAACTAAAATTTGATCATTTGAAATAAGTTGCAAGTTTCAATTTATTTCTTTAGATTTTTTCCAGATAGTATGACATACATATTCGACTTTATAAAAATATACAGAATAAACATGAAAATCTTAAAAAAAAAGAAAAATAAAGTAACATCCAATATAAAATTAGAAAAAAATAGTCAATAAATAGTAAAACATTAAAAATTGACAAAGTGTGCATAAAATCATACGAAAAACTACAAATATCAAGTATTTTCAAAAAATAACATCAATTTACTAAAATTTCCAAGCTAAAAAAAAAAAAAATAAATAATCATGGAAACTACATCACATCGAAGCCAAGGATGGTGACCCATATTAAGGGAGTCTAATATGGAACAAGTGGCAAGGTGTTTTGCTAACTTTACTTTAAATAAATATAGTGGAATGGCTTTGCTTGATGTAGACAGTTGACTCTAAGCATTAATATAATATGTATATATCTAAAAATTATTATATCAAACCTGAATCATCCTTAAAATGGCGAGGCCTTGTTGTGGTTTTGGCAGTTCCCTTAGCTCTACTGCTATATATTCCCCTATAAAACTTGCTTTGTCCTTCTCTGACGATATTTTTTTGAGTGCGCCAATCATAACTTTGTCGATGTCCTAATAACACAAATGTTTTTATAACAACTGCAATTATATATGACAATAAAAAGCGGTTATGCTGCTTAACATTTACACATGGGACAGACAGCCATTGTATGACTTGTGTTTCCTTAAAGAAATTTCTGATTGTAATACAACATATACGAAATAAATATGGTCCACTAAAATGACAAGATTTATACATCAACACTGGTAGTAGTCAATGTCTACACAATTTAAAACCTTAATACAAATAGAATACTAACTTGTTGTTCTTCACTGGTGATGTTATCTTTTGTTTCTGAAAAGAAAAATGTAGTAATGCAAGCCTTTAACTACAAATTTGATTTAGGAAGGAATCATAATTTGGTGCACAAATTGCAATATCAGCTCTGCTAATACAGTTCTCTCTATTCAACAACCATTTAATTTTTAGCTAATTTATTTAAGGATGCCAGACAACTTAAAATTCACAAATGTATTGAACTTCCGTTGACAGCAAATCCTACAAGAAACATTTTTCTTTCTTTTTTTTTTCGAAATTTGAACAATACATGTGCTAGAATTAAAATTTAGTAAGAATGTAAAATATTACTTTTCATTTTTTTCCCTCTTGATTGCCCTGGCGGAGTCTGAAAAACAAACAATCAGAATATTAAAACATCAGTTATGAAGATAAAGATAGTCAGGTAGTTAACATAACTATGATAATGATGGTGTTATTGGTAGTAGGGTGATGGTGACCATTAAATGTTGAGACATAACATGCTTCTTGGTAACCAAATACTGACTGTACAAACAATTAATTAAGATTGATAATAGATAGCTATCAAAACAGGTCTCTTTCAAAAAATTGGCTAATTTTTGTAATGTACATAAACACAGAAATTCAAATGGTTATTTTACATATCACTAAATAAGGAGTGAAAATATTCAATCCCAACATGATAGCCTGTAATTTATCACCAAAAGTCTATTTTATTCTATCTGAGTTGAAAGGGTGTTAATAAAAAGTTAATAATACATACTATAATTCTCTTGCCTGTTGATGATGATGATGTTGGAGTATCAACAAGAGACTGAAAAGAAATATAAAAAAATGATTTAAATAATCTAATTGTCAATTTGTGATTTTCTTCGTCATCATAATTAATGTTATGTTTATCTTCACCGCGGTCTTGTAATTATCATCTCATTATAAGTAATCATTGACATACTTACACAATCTGTGCCTAAATCTTCAAAAGACTGAGTAGTACACTAGGCATAAAAAAAATGTTTGAAAAATAGTTTATATGATCAACAATTTTGTCTTTATCATCTTTAAAATCAATAATAATCATCATCATTTTATAATTACAAGTAATCATTGACATACTTACAACATCGATGTCCAAATCCTCAACAACCTGAGTTGTACCCTAGGCATAAAAAAATGTTTGAAAAAAAAAAACAGCTTATACTTATGATCATTAATTTTCTCTTTATCATCTTTAAAATCAATAATAATCGTAATCATCTATAGAGTACATTTATTTTACTTTACCTCATCGAAATCTTTTAATATTTGTAAAGCTTAACTTCATTGCTGTCATAATCATCATCTTATAATTATAACTAATCATTGACATACTTACAACATCTGTGTCCAACTCTTCAGCAACCTGAGTTGTACCCTAGGCATTAACAATGTTTAAAAAACAGTTTATATTTATGATCATTAATTTTGTCTTTATCATCTTTAAAATCAATAATAATCGTCATCATCTACACAGTATATTCATTGTACTTTACCTCATCTAACTCTTGTAATATTGTTAAAGCGTCAGGAGGGCTATCACCAGCTGTATTTGCTGCAATTAAAAATAAAGCTGCTTTTTAACATTTCATCTTTTGTCTTTTTTTTTTTTTTTTGGCAGATTCAGTCGAATGAGTAAGGAGCATTTCCAACACCTGGTTAGTCTGGTTTCCCCTTTAATCTCCAAAAAACGCACACATTTCAGAGAGCCCATTAGTGCTGAACAAAGGCTACTAATTACTCTACGTTACTTGGCAACAGGTGATTCCCAGATATCACAATCCTTCAATTTTCTTGTTGGTCGATCTACCATTAGCAAGATCATAAAGGAGACATGCACTGCCCTATGGACAGTTCTCCAACCAACATACATGAAGATGCCAAGCACTGCTGATGAGTGGAGAGAAGTAGCACAGGAATTTGAGAAACAGTGGAACATGCTGCATGTTATTGGTGCCCTAGATGGGAAGCATGTCAACATTGAATGTCCACCAAATGGTGGTTCTCAATACTACAATTACAAGAACTTTCACTCTATTGTACTTCTTGGGATGGCTGATGCAAATTATTCATTTACGTATATAGAATAAACAATGTTTGCTGCCACCTATGTTTTACAATAAATACTGAACTGAGAAAATGGCAATCGTCTCCTGTCAGTCCGTCGTGTTGTGACATAAAGAGTCATAAAACATTACAGAAGAGAAAACACTGCCTATTCCCACACCATCAAGAGTGGGTAACAGTCTGCTCCCATATTACATTATCGGTGATGACATCTTCCCACTTAAAACCTACTTGATGAAGCCATATGCTGGTAATGGACTCAGCATCCATCAGAAAGTGTTCAATTATCGACTGTCTCGAGCTAGAAGGGTGATAGAAAATGCCTTCGGGCTACTTGCTGCAAGATGGCGCATATTTAGGTGGGCCATAAAAGCAGATCCTTCCACCATAGACATGATAGTAAAGTCAACAACATGTCTACATAATTATCTTATCAAGAAAAACAAAGAACGATATTGCCCACCAGGGTACACTGATCACAGGAATGAGATGAACGGCACTTGGCGACAGACAATCCAGAATGAAGGCAGCTGTTTTAATAACTTTGTGAGGCAGGGTTCTAATAACTATGACAGAACATCGAAACAGATGCGAGATGACATTGCTGAGTATGTGAACAGTGATGTGGGATCACTTCCATGGCAATTAGACTATGTAACATATTCAGGAAAGAATAAAAAGTAAACTTAAAAAGAACTCACCATGATAATTTCCAGTGGACTTTCTTGATATTGCTGTGTGTGGCAGCAGCCATCTCAAATATTCATATCTCTCCTCAATAAGAAAATCATTGCCTGACCCAGAAGGGTTTTTTTTGGTCAAATGTCTGAAATATAATTTTTTGTACTGTAATCTTCATATGTTTTCAAACTTCAAAATCAGAATATAGTTTTTTGAATGATCATTGATCTGAATATTTGAGCTTTATTTCCTGCTTTACACTTTAAAAAGTTAGTTTGGTGTTTAGGAATTTTAAGGATGCCTACTTGTATGCCTATATGTATGTATGTATTTTAAGAATGCCTACAAAATGTTTTTTATTACAATCTGTTTTATTTTGATATTTATTAAAAATTAAAGTTAAAAAACACTGTGATTATGACCTCATGTTAATAACAATGCTACAAGTAGAAATTCATTTGTCATGCATTTACCATCACCTACAATATTTGAATTCCTCTTTAACTCATGCCAAATGAAAAAGTGTCAATAAGACACACCTACAGAAATAAAGTCATCACAAGAAACGAAAATAGTGCTATAATAGATTTATTGTGCATGGTCTAGGCCTATTGTTAATTTTGTGAATTAATTTTCCTGTAAGTTTTATAATAATGAAAAAAAAGTCAAAAATGCACATAGCAATTTAACATAATACAGAACCACTAAGTCTGTATACTTTTATTATGAGACTGAATGATGCCCAAAACTCACACATGAACAGAAGTCATGTCAACACACTAGGCAATACAATAGAAAATGAAGTCTTATGAGTGAATGAATGAAGATATTAAATTCCAGCCAAGCCTTGGCCTACAGGAGATGGGTCCTACTAGGCCAGGAAGCCTGGGTATAGGCATGGCCTAGTATTTATTATCCCTCCACCCAGGCTAATGAAAAATCAACTTTCATTGGACAACACATTGGACGAAAGTGCTGAAGTCACCAGCGATGTCCAAATACTAGCAATTCTAAGAAAGGAAGGATTATAGCCTACCCTAGGCCTAATAAGGACAAGTAACTTAGTAGGCCAAGCTGGAGGACTTGAGTGTCTATTGTAGTACCCTCACTAGGCCCCCTCTCTCTACTACTAATACTGCTACAGTAACTAGGCTTATAGGAACTAGCCTACATTGCTGTACTACCAGCCTTGCCTAGGGGCCAGATTGGGAGGGTAGATCTAGACCTAGCCTAGTAGTTAGTTGGCATGCTGGCCCCGTCCGTCGTCCATATACAGTACTCACTTTATTTTACAAATTTGTCCCTGATTGCCTTGTATTTTTTTACAAGAATTTCAGCGTTCGGGTCACCCAATTCCTCAGCTATTGCCTTCCACGCGTTCTGCCTGGTGGTTTTATTTTTGTAATGTGTGCATCCCTTGTCATATAAACACGGGTATTGCTGGACCAATTCCATGAATTTTACTTCGTCTGCTGTAGCCATGCTTGTTTATATTTATATGATACCAAGGGTGTTGACCTTTGACTCGCAGCTCAGCTAAATCTGTGTTTTGATTGGTCCATCGGCCGCGAATTCGCTTGCGAATTCTCAAAAGTTGGTCTTGGATCAACTCTTGTGAATTCGCAGGCGAAGCCTCCGCGACCACCGCGCGCACCGCGTCAAAGTTCGAATATTGGGCGTTCGCGTGTTCGACTACAAATTCGTTTGCATGTTCACATTGGAAACGCCAGTCGCGTCTCCAATTCAGCCGCGCGCGCCACATTTCGACGCGAAATTCGCTTGATCGCGTTAAGTGGGAACCGGCCTTCATCGTCACGGGCGGCCTAGGCGCGCTAGGAATTTTTCTCGCTCGTGTTGCATAGGCCTATATGAGATTTTGAAGATGAAAAATTACTATTCAACGATCGTTGTCTAGTACTCAAATAACCATGGAATAATCATTTTAAATCAATCTCATGTGACCTGTTTTCAACTAATCAAATTAATAAAATATATACAGGTGTTGTACAATCTGCTATAGTTTACAAATTCAGGCAAGGATGTTAATATGTGAGACAGGTATTATGACGCCAGGTGGACTGCCCCTGTTCGAATGTGTTAGGCAGTGTGCCTACAGTACGTGGTTCAGGGTTTTCTTGTTCCTGCATTTACGACAGTTACCGTTTACCCTTTTCCCCCAGTTGCGAAGTTTTCTAAAGGTTAGCAAAATGTCGATCGAGGCACAGACAGCAAAACAAAGCACACCTCTAGGGAGGATGAAAATATGAGTGATCTCCATGTAAGATCGCACGACTGGAGATGCATCACTTTTAGCAAGATTCCCTGTTGAGGAAGTGGGCGGATGTAATCGGACCAGAATTATATTTTTAATCTTATAGTTCTGATTTTCTAAATTTGCTCTTGCCGTATAGTCATGGCCGGAGCAACCTGGGAAGAGGTAGGGGGAGGGGCAAATTTTTTGGCAGAAAATATATTATTATGGAGATTTTTGTATGATCGGAGAAAGAAATGCAAGAAAAGACAGAGAAAAGAAGGAGAGAGAGCGGAAAGAGAGTGTTTATCCAGTCCCCGACCCTGAGGACCCCGACCCCTTTTGGTTTTGGGGTTCACCAACTTATGGGAAAAAAATACGTATATGCTAATCAATTTTTATGTATATGCACACATAAAATAAGTATGATAAAAGATTTGCCTGACTGTTTTCAAAAGCGAAAAACCTTGACTTTTGAATAACTTAACAGTCATTAAAAGACATTTCAGGAGTCGGGAAAGCTCATTTTCCGCCATCTAAAAATTGAAATTTCCCTGGGGAACCCGGACCCCTTTTCTCTTTGGGGTTCATCAAATTTTTAAAGTATATATTCAGAAATTATATCTCACAATAATAACTCCATGATCTGATGAGGAAAAATTTTGTTCTTATGAATCTGAATCATAGCCTGACATAATAATGATATTATTAGACATAATAATAATAATAATAATAATAATAATAATAATAATAATAATAATAATAATAATAATAATAATAATAATCTGCTAAAGGAAGAGTGATTTCTAATGTCTTTCTTCAGATTGAAGCCATGCGTCTCCTGTTAAGTTATTCTACTGTTTAATTACATCATCGGGCATATGCCTTTATGTGCAGTTTGTCAAATTTAAACAAATAGAAATCTATGTAGGCTCAGCAGCAGTTTAAAAGTTTATATCATGATTATCAGCTGATTACTGACTTCTTTTACTTGAATTTGACGATAAATAATGTAATAGGCTTCTAAATGATATCATTAATAATTTACTGTTTTATTACATGAAAAATTATCATTAACAATTTCATAAATAAGTGAAATAGATTATTACTTTTCAGTCTGTTTACTGCACTGAAATTCGCTGATTAATGACATCATGGTTCTTGATCTGTCTTACCAGATGTGAATCTTTTGTATGTTATGGCAATAGTCTGTGCCATATGGATTCTCAATAACAAAATAACACGGAAAAGGTACAAATGATTTTGTAATTTGAAATTCAAATTCCTAAATGTTGTAAATAGTAATAACAAAAATTATAAAATTATACAATACAAATAAAAATACAACTAATAATTATATTTTAACAAATTAATCTATACCTGATGAATTCCCGAAGGAATGATCAGCATTCGGCCCTGTTGCATCAGCCATTGTAATTGGCCTTGCAAAGTTCCAATCAAAATCATCTTCATGGGTTCCTCCTTGAATGTAACCACACTCATCCAAAGATTGCTCAAAGTTACAATTACCAGTAGTCGCTGAAAAAAAATCGGATGAATATAAATTTAGTTTAAAAGGTTACACAGTGCTATATAATGTTTGACGCGTATATATATATATA